CCGGGGCGGGTCGCTAGTGTATTCTAAAATGAAGTTTAAAAGTCGTTGGTGTTGTTATGACCCGGAGTCCTGAAATAAGTAGGTACTGCCTAGTTCAGGTACTTACTAGAGTCCTGTTTACCCTTGTACTCAATGGAATTGTAAAAACTTTTATGTTAATGTTTAATGTAGGTAATATCAAGTCAAATTGTATAGTAAATTAAAAACAAAATATCGGTATCTACTTACAGACTGACCGACGTAATAAATCACGATACAGTGCACTTTTTCTCAATCTGTCTTAAGTAAGATAATTACAATCATTTCCGATTTAATCTCATGTACAGCTGGGTACTCGCCTATGTGATAACGAATCCTTGAAAACCCGCGATATGATTTAAATGTTTATAGCGTTGATACAAAATCTTGCATAACGTTTGTAGTGCATTAACTCTTAACTGGTTTTAGCTCACGACTTTGCAAGTGCAACAAAATTATATTTTAATACTTCTAATAAGTATTTCGGGAAATATTGAACAAGATGCCACGTGCCATCGGTTTCGCTCGTGTTTCCGTGGGTTTAAAAGTAGCAGTAGCCTATGTATGTTATTCCACACCATAAACTACCTCCCTACCAAATTTTATTGCAATCCCTTCAGCCATTTTGTGGTTGAATAGACTCAAACTCACTTTTGAATTCATAATATTAGGGAGAAACCTCTCCTTGGAGGCTCCGGAGCAGGTCTCTTTTAGAGGACCCGGTGCTTCTATACAGGTGTTGAGGGTGGCCACCGGGGTGGATTTAGTGAGGGAAAATCTCACAGTCCCTAGTCTTTTATCCCGAAAAAGGTAGGCGCCTTTTGAAGGGATTCCCCCCGTCATCACAAAAAAGGAGATACCTCTCCTGCTCTTTTCAAGATTCAAGGAACATTAACCTCTTGTACATTGAAAGTTGCGGGTATAATGTGTTTTATACCGGGAGCCGGTGTTGCAACAGATAAAAGGTAAAAAAATCAGCATACTACGACCAGAACGTACTTGTTTCGGATCGGTTCTTGCGGTGGCGGACATTCGTTTAGTCATTTAACGGTTTTTATTAATGTATTGATTGGTGGTCAGCCAATAAAGAACAGCATTTAGTTTAAATGTTTTAATAATAAAATCAGTTACGTAATCTTAACGTAGGTACCTAATAATAATGTCACTTTAGTAATTACGTACAGACCTAAGTAGATACCTATGTAGACGTAGGTATTTAAAAGATTATTTCTTTTTTGTGCATAATTTATTTCGAAAAGAAAACGAATGTCATGCTAAGTTGTAATTTTTATCTGTTATTATTAATTGTATTGACGGCCTCGTTGGCTGAGTGGTCGCAAGTGCGACTGCCAGGTAAGCGGTCTCGGGTTTGATTCCCGGGTCGAGCTAAATTATTACTGGTTTTTTTTAATCTCAGTAGTAGCACGAAGTCTACAATTGTGCCCGGTATATGACAATAGGCTCACCCCCTATTACATGGGACTCATAACATACATAGTGAAAAGTGGGTGTTACATTGTGTAGTAGCACTAAGTGCTGGAATGTGCAATTGTGCACCTACCCCTTCGGGGATAAAAGGCGTGATGTTATATATACACATTACTAATTCTGTTGTTACTAATATTTAGGAACTTATGCAGTGTACTCAGTTATAATTATTAGTTTTTTGCATATTTAGTCAAAATATTGTGACAACTGTTGATTTCTTTCTGCTGAACCCTTCAGATAAAAAGTAGTGTTGTCAATAATTACAGGATATCAAGTAATTATCTTGCCATGACAATGACAATTGTTTGATTTGTCGAGAAACGCCTGAACCAATAAAGCCTTATATAGTAATGATGACGTTTATATATTTCTGCGAAATTAATTTCATTGAACAGCAAATCTAAAACAATCAGTTGGTGTTTTTTGGTTACAGTAAAGTGCATCTATAAAATTGGTATTTCTATCTTTATATAAATACTACTATAGTATAGTATATGTCGCGGAGATAATAACGGGTTACCGAGGCTCCGGCTCGACGTGCAGGAGAAGGAACGGGGTGGTTTTTAAGTTTTTAATCAGTAAGAGTCTGACACTGACTAAAAACCACCCCGTTCCTTCTCCGCCTCACCCAGGCGGGAGAAGTCATTCGATGATTTTCCCCCCCTTAAAAAAAATAGTATACTATACATAAAGCTTTTTTAATATAAAGTTTTTTTATTTTACTGTAAAAGTGTATTTACAATTCAAAGTATTAGTAGATTTCTTAAATTGGGTTAGTTTATAAGTAATTGTAGTAAGTAGGTTTTTTAATAATATTTTTGCTATTATACTAATATTAATTATTTTGTTTTCGGCTTACTCACGTAACTGTTTGACTCGACTAGTTTCAAGTCATGCTGGAGGCTCATATTCATAGCAGCATCCCGCGACCCGCAACGCGGCGACTGTCGCGCTGCTACTGTCTAATATCTAAGCCGAAAGCACAATAATTAATTTAGTATGTCTCACGAAAGTTATAATATATACTAATATTCAATGGCTTCAGGAGGTGGTTTGATTTATTTGATTCATATAAATAAAGCCTTTCGAACCTTTTATTTTAAACAATAACATTATTGTAAGTAGGTACTATAAATATGACTGCCTTATTGGCCGCGTGGTCGCAAGTGCAACTGCCGGGCAAAGGGTCTCGGGTTCGATTCCCGGGTCGAGCAAAGTATTACTTACTGGGTTTGTAAAAACTTCAATAGTACACGGAGACTGGAATTGTGCCTGATATATGGCAATAGGCTCACCCCCTATTATATGGGACTCATAACATAAATAGTGAATAGTGGGTTTTACATTGTATAGTGGCATTAAGTGGCATAATATGCACCTCTGCCTACCGCTTCGGGGATAAAAGGCGAGATGTTATGTTATGTACCTACTATAAATATCTATAATAATAATGTACATTTCGCGCAGGGCCAATAATTTTTTACCTATATAGTGCCACTTTTATTATTTCAATCAAGTTACCGTATTTTTTACAAGACGTTCTTTAATCTGTGTAGATAATCTAGAAACCTGTTTAACACATTTACATTTTTCAAAATCTATTTCCGTGAATTCCAAGACTATGTTATGTATGTACCTACCGATACTAAATTTTCTTAATTTAAGTATTATGTAACCAAAACTTAGAAATACTCCTGGTAAATATAAAACTGTGTTTGTCTGTCATTCTTTCACGTGATAGCCTACAACGGTCATTTTGTGGAATACTTTCTATGTCTGAATATACAAAGTTGAAGAGTGATATACCTATCTACCTATCTACATATATTGACTTACGAAAACTGCTACCGAGTCGCTGTTGTCGCCGTAGCCACTGTTGCAGCCTTGACTCTAGGTTAGGTTTCTTTTTGTAACGGTGGAAATCCTCCTGGAGATTCCACTTCGTGGTGACGGCGCGGCGTGGGGGTGATGTGCTAGTTTCCTCTTCATGTTGATAGAATGGTGGCGTGTTGGACTCTTACCGGCTAAAACTAACGCGGTATTCTTCCTCTGCTGCGGCCAAAACCCTAGACACACTAGCGGATTCACTGTGCTACGTTTTTAACCGATTTATAAAAAAAACAATAAGAATCATAGTATGACCTGTACCTATGTATGTATGTATGTATGAATGTATGTATGTATCTTTGTTTATTTGTTAGCGATCGCTGTTGGCTCAACCGATTTCGGTGCCTTTTTCAGGTAAGAGAAGGTATATTATTAAACCGCCCTCAAAATAGAGGTGATTGAAGTCTTTTTTTAAACGTAGTTTTGTAAAACGTTTTTTTTCCCTTGAACAATTTGGGCGAAGCCTCGAGTAGCAGCTAGTTTTTTCTTATTTACATTATGATACTATGAGTACTAATATGTTTGAAGTTGCACATATTTTGTTGTTGTGTGCAAATTATCTAGGTACAATTACCTACGTAATAAGTATTTAATATCGCATAGTTGTAAACAAATGTACTTGTGCACACGCATAAGTAGGATGGTAATATAATCGAATAATATGTAAGTCTCGTTGCATTTAAAGAGTCCTATTGTAGAGAACTCCTGAAGTTCAGGTGCATAAAAATGTGGTACAATAAACACCGAGATTTAGATGTCCTGCCAACTGAGTAGGGTAGATGACTAATGTTTTTTTTATTTTTTTTTTAAAAACATTAGACACGTACTTATTTTTTATTTTCTTACGTAGACGAATAGTTTCTAAGATATAGTGATTTGAAATATCACATGACGTCACTTTTGAGTACGCTTTATACTCTAAAATGACGTAGCTACCGCCCTACTCCTAAACTTTGATACGTATTATCTGAGTATTGTTTTCTTATACGACAAAATAAAAAAAATACGTGTCTAATATTTTTTTATTATCTAACTGACGGACTAATTAGTTTTTTAATTATCATACCCTGTCATCATCCCTATTATGAATGGATTCGAATTTCATAGGTATAACAAGCTTCAGTACAACCATTTTTCAGCAACTATAAATCATCTCAGAACAGAGGTTGCCCTAAGAGGTACTACCGTTATCCTCTGGTCATTTAAAAGTAATAGTATTTCTATTACTTATTATATTATATTTATTAACAATATAATTGTAGCCTTGTCAATTCCATTTTAACGTCCCTTCAGTAATTATTATGTCATGGTCAAAGTTACTCAATGTTACTTAAAGTCTAGAAACATAATCTATTTATCACAATAGTACACTACATAGTATAAACAACACATTCAAAGCCACGTGCGAATTCGATTCCGAATTATGTAATTGAGCTTCGTAATCTGCATAATTATTTTTAATTAATCGACGGAGCCTCATAAGGTTTTAATAAAACTTGTTTTTTTGATAATTATTATCATTTAAGCGTCTATTATAAGTTCAAATAACTGATTATAGTTTCGATGTGCTGTGTACATTCTCTGAGAGTATTTTCATTGTCGACTCGGTGTCGCGAGGACGTGCCGATGCCGGTCCTATACAATGCAACCGTCGTAACTTCGTAAATTACAAATGGATACGTGTTTTAGCAAAAATAACTAACTTAAAATTAAATAATATAATATTCACTAATCTATTAAAATATTTGGGTTAATATTTCGTCGGGTTGTTGAGATTTTCGGGTTTTACTTTTGGAACGTGATATTCGGTTGCTATTAAAATGGATGAGGCTTTCGCGCATATTGAAAGTGATGAGAAGAAGTCTAAGAAGGGGCTGGTACCTCCAGACGGAGGTTGGGGCTATGTGGTCGGAATAGGAGTGGGATTCACATTCGTAAGTATTCTATATACAATTATAAAATTTGCTCTTATTTAGATCTCGAATTTGTTACACAGATTTTAAGTAGAAATTCTATCGTAATTTTCCGTAACACATAAAAGCGTCATTAACGAAAAAAGGTCGATTACACTGAACTTTTCCACATAAATATAATTTAAAATATAGACGTAAAGGTAGTAGGTAGGGGGCACCTAGCAACATTGATTTATTGCTTTATGGTACAATAAACCAAAGGACAATAATATTTAATAATGTGTCCAACGTTCATCTACTGAAGGTCCCAGCACGTTCGTATTTAAATTAACACATGATGGGGTCGGGTCAAAACTGAGGCATTCGATACCAATTGTCTACAGAATGCAAAGCACTAAAAGCTGCGGAATTAAACCTACTACTTACATTTGCAAGTTTGAATTTTCAACTTTAATCTTGAAAGGGTATGGTTCGATTTTAGTTGCCATTTTTTTTTTGTAATTGTCAGGTTTTTATACTTTTTGTTTACCCTTACCCTCACGAAGCAGAGATGCAAAATTTTTTTTGTTAATTATAATAAGTGTCCTGTATTTATAGGGAGCGAACTTAATGTTATTTATTGGACATAATTTTGAAATTTCACGAACTATGTTTGTTTTTAATATTTTAATTGACTTCATATTTTTAAAGTTCAATAATCACAAATAAGGGTTTGAAACAATTATCGTTATTTCATACAAAGGTGATTAGACATGATGTATAGCGTACATTGATCGATGTGTTTGGCACTTTAATCTTTCGCTCGTCCTTGACCGCTAATTACAGGCCATCCAACCAATTCATTCTTTCATTACGACGTTCTTTTCATAATTTAATAAATACAGAAAAATCTTACGGTATTTATGTTACAACTAGACTATGACTGCGTGATCGTGCATTGTTTAAAATCTTGATATTTCAAGTTTTTACCCGATTTTTTAAGAATTCTAGCTTTATCATGTTTTGATCAGTAATTTCATAACATATTTGTACTATAAAAAACAAATTATGAAGACAATTGGTTGAAAATAATTTCTTGCAATGTGGAGCAATGAGGGAGACGTGTTAGTGTTAGGAATATCTTTAATTGAGTGTCTAATAACTAACTTACACTACTTATAGGGCGAGGTGTCACACACACTACATTCTCATCGAAAAGATATTTCGCAAACAGTGTTGGAAAATTCCTTACCTTTACTAACGACTGATATAATAAAGAATATTTCTGTGATTAAATGTTTTATATGTGTCGGACGGGGTCGGTATTTTTTTAACTTTACGAAAAAAATATTTCTTTATTCATAAAATATATTTTTAATATGATTTATTTAATAATTAAAATTAAAATACTTTTTCTATAGATATTGTGCGATAGGTCTACCTAAGAAAAAATCTTATTATCTAATATCCAAGTATCTATACTTTTATCTAATATCCAAGTATCTATACTTGGATATTAGATAAAAAGATTTTTTCTCTTTTTTTGCAAAATTCGATTGTTATACATGTTTATATTATCTGTGGCAAACTGGCCACTTTCAAGTTGAAACCTATTTATGTTCTTCTTTCGATTTATGAAATATTTTGTTCAATTCACACGTAAAATAACTACTTAGGCTGTATATAACAAAATACTAGCTTCTGCCCGCGACTTCGTACGCGTAATCCTATTTTTCCTGTCCCCATTCGTGATTTTCGGTAAAAAGTAAAAAAAAAATTGGTCAAAAAGTATCCTATGTCGGTCTCCTGGCTCTAAGCTACCTCCCTACCAATTTTCAGCCAAATCTATTCTGCCGTTGTTGAGTTATAAGTGGTGTAACTAACACGACTTTCTTTTATATATATAGATATAACAGTAATAAAATAAATACCTACATAGCTAAACTTAAATAATGTAATCAATCCAAGCTGTTGCTTAGCGAATAACGACAAATCATTATCTGTAACGACCGGTAAGTATAAAGAAACGGATATTTAACGATAGATATGCACGTGACTCATTATAAATATCTGTTCGTAAGTATTATCATACTTATTTGCAAATAATAAGATAATATGAAAATTTATGTGTAGATCCATATCTAATATTGCAAAATAACTATTTTGTAGGTAAGTACCTACCTAACTACTAGTCCTAATTTATCAACTTGTTTACGCTAAAAAATCGGTACCTATATTATTGATCGGGAAGCATCGGATTGTGTGCTTTAATTTAAAATTATAGAGACAATAAATTGACTAAAAATCGCGGGTTACTCACGTGAGTATATATACTGATGTCGCGCAGCCTAATGACAACGCCGCGACCGCGCACGCTGCTCATGAGAAAGAACCCCTCTGTGGTTCGAAACTAGTAGAGCTTTTCTCAGTATATTCACGTGAGTAACCCGCCATTTTTAGTTAATTTAGCATGTCTCACGATAGTTCTTTTAAAAAAATATAGAGACACTATATGGACGATTTTTATCAGTTTTATTGAGTAGCGATTGTAATAAGTAAATTGGTGATTATAGTCCAGGTGCAATCGACTTCCTGAATAAATAAGTAGCGGTCACAGCGATTCTTGAACCAATTCAAATCTTTAGTGTAATGTGGCATTGCCCTGACCGAGACATTGAAGTCACCAATTTCATTAACATCAGATTGGAAACGTGATTTCAATGCCCGTCTGTCGACTTTTATTAATTGTGCTTAGTGCTTATTTTTTTCAAATATGTAAAACGTGTGAGTTTGGTAGTGTCCCCTTTAAGTCTAGCAAAAATGTGGCACGGCCCTACCATCCTTTTATCGAACTAATTTGGATCTATGATAAAACACTCAATGAGTTAAATTAGAAGCCTAAATTTTTTGTCACCATTCATATTGATTCCGTCCATATTTTGCTTCTTTATAAGCAAATAGATTATTCGAGAAAAAATTTACAAAAAGAGATGGAACAGAGTCTATACAGATAAATAAAATTAGAGTGTCTGTTTGTAATATTGAAATAACCTCTTTGTTACTACATGCATATGGGTATAGAATATACGATATATCTACCAAAACATCAGTTTTACACTTTCTGTCTGTCTATCTGTTTGTATTAGCTAATCTCTGATATGGCTGGACTGATTTTGACGGGACTTATTATTGGCAGGTAGCTAATGTATTAAAGAGTAAGATAGAATACTTTTGTTTTATTAAAACGCAGACGAATTTTGCGGGTAAAGCTAGCAAAATATAAAATTCAGAAAAATCTTTTATTTATTAAAATCATTATTCGGACGCATTATTTATTTTCTTATCGGTGGGCAAGTTTTGTTTTAAGATGCGCGAGTTCATTATATTTCTACGTAATAATAATGTACTTAATATAATGACCATATTAATTTGTATTTCTCATGGACATAATTTACGTTGGTACCGTTAATTTATCAGTAGAATATGGGCCGATTTTTTCAATCATCATTTAATTCTTAACTGTAGCATTAAATTGACTTTTAACTGTCTTCAGTATGGAATAATTGTCAAACATGCAAAGTTATATTCCTCAGTTAGAATTTATCAGGCGTTGGATAAATCGGCCCTAAGTGGAAAAATGTGGATTAATGAGGGTTTACTGAACTCTCATTCAATATCAAGAAAAACAAACATAAGAACCTTTGTACTATTAAAAAAGGGTGTGATACGTTACGTAGCAGTGCACTTGTTTATCAACATGGATACAACAGGGATAATCGTTAATGATTGCATTGTTTTTCTACATAGGTATAAAGATTAAAAGTTATTGATATTAGTATAGAATCCCCTAATCAGTATTAGTATTTACCGACTTTCCAGATGTCCTTCCGATAGCATACTTAATGCCAGATAGGTTAATATCTTAAGATATTGTGAATTTTATACTTAACATAGGTAATGTTTACAAAAGACCCAAGCCAGCAGTGACAGCAGTGACAGAGCAGGAGTAGGGACGGGGTGGTTTTTAGTCAGTAAGAGTCTGACACTCCAATGCGCCTCACACAAGGCCGGATCAGTCATTGGATTTCGTTGTCCTCTTTAAAAATGCCCTTTTGTACTTTCGTCTATCGTATGTTATTATTGGCTGCCATAAATCGTCAGATATCAGTAAATTTGTAAGTCAAAAAAGGGACACGTAGAGCTGTATCTTTATTGTTTTATGTCCTTATCGTCTATTTACTACCACCTTTCACGAATTATCTAAGTCCTAGGTGATAGAAGATATTGTTGTCTCATTTATTTTTTATTTCAAAGTCGTCGATAGTTCTCAAAGTTTCAAATCAGAAAAACGTTAGAGGCTTAGTGCTCGATTGCAAAATCTTGAATTTAAGTAATTGAAGCACTAGTACAAAACTAAGCTGTCTTTTTAAACGGTTTTATTTAGCTTGCCCTATCTCTCTCTCTATCTCTCGTTCTCGCCCTCTTTCTCTCTTTAACTCTGAATTGATTACCATATCTAATTTTTTCTACAACTATTTCTGCATTATGGATATCAAACGAAAGGGCTCGATTTGTAGAATTGAGTTCATTAAAACAGTTTAATATAAAAAATATTTTTATGCACTGCTTGCTGTTGTATTTTTTGTCATATACATAATATACTTTGTCATATCTAGGTACTTATATAAGTACTGATTTATTTATTTGTTTTATTACCAATTTATTTTTTACAATCGTCTTCCTTTACAGTTCCTTTACAGTCACTTTAAAATATACTTTAAAATAAAATGATACACATTGATAAAGTTTCATACTTTAAAATAAAAATAAAACTGACCACGTTTCTATAACAAAATAAAATGTAAATCGAAGTGATACTGATCTCACACAAACACGTGACAAGCGGCTCAAATTCTGCCATTCCATTCTCATTATTATTGAAACTATATGTATACTCTTCTTTGGGTAAAATTACTTAATATTCTATCGAAAATACGTCAATTTGTTCATTCATGTGGGAAACGTTGATAAATGATTATGTA